GCAAGTGGGACAGGTTTAACCTGCCAGGCCAACTCTGTGTCCCAGCTTACCACACTTGATACTCACACACCAATTTTCTGATGGGAAGTGCAAACCCTTAGGAAGATTCACAGAATCCCACTGAAGGTGACGTGTTAAAGCCATTTGCAGGCATTAACCACCCGTCTGTCTCACCATTAATCTCTTTTCTCTTTTCCAGGTGCTCTCTTTGCTTCTGTTGCCTGCGTGCAAGGGCTGTGTTCCCTCGTGGCTACAGGAGTGTTCAACTCTCTCTACCCTGTGACCTTGCACTTCATGAGAGGATTCCCATTTCTCTTCGGGGCTATAATCCTTCTTATTCCGGCAGCTATCATTGGGTAATTTAGTTCAAATTTCTAAACTTTGCTACAGGACCTGTGAAATGTCATGTGGAAAATATTATTTACTCTTCTTAGGAGAGACAGTTTTTAAGGCATATTTTCAATTGAGCTTATGAGAGGGTGTTTGGTACCCCAGTAAACAGAGATGCAGGTCATTTCTTCTGGAATCTGAGTCCTAGGGATAAACCTGCAGCCTGAATAATGTAGCTGCAAATATTAAGAATGCTTCAGAGTTTCACTCCACCCTCAATGGAATCCAAAACCTTTCCAAAACGAATTTGAAAGTCCTCCTTTATGGGAGAGATGGAGCTCTCAGCAGTCTCTCTTCCTGTCATTTCTTTAATAATTAAAGCAAAAGTTGTATTGTGATAGAAAACATCCCGTGGTAGGTTCTGGGAGAAGGAATGTGTTGGGATTTGCAGTAGAAGTGCAACAGCTCTTGGCAGGGTCATTTCGTTCTGTTCCTTTGAAACTTTAAAACTCACTCAGTTCAGCGACATCCCAGTGTGCCTTCAAAGGTTCTAACTGTTTGTTCTTTCCTAGGTGGATTCAAATCTGGGACTCAAAACATGACTACAATCACTTCCAAGATCCCTCATCCCCTGCAAAAGACTGAGCAGCAACTTAGCAACAAGGAATTGGCCAGCACAGCAGTGTCCACCTGAAGACTGCTCTTTACTCTTCCCTCAAAGGACAGATTAGTGTGGGAGGGACACCCTCCTTGCCCCTACTAACTTTTAAATGCCAGGTAGTTGGAAATCATGGCTCTGACTACAGGAGGAACCTGATTTGCAGATGTGAATGCCTCCTTGACATTTGTTGGCTCATCTGTGAGAGAAAACCCGAGAGACCCAAAAGCCAACCAAGCTGTTGTGGGCCATTTGCAAGGCTGGTTAGTGGTTTGGGGTTTGGAGAAGGCACCGTGACATGCTTTTAAGGGGGAGAGAGGACTGAGTTCTGGTTTAATTGCCAAACACATTCCCCTCTGAGTACTGCAGTGTGTAGCAGGTGAGCTTTTGGTGTGGGTGAGGCATGGACTGAAGCTTGCAGAGCCAGACTGAAGCAGAGGTACCCAGTAGTGTACTGCTGAGGAGGAAGATCCATGATCTGGATCAGCATGTTGCCTGTAAAAATCCTACAAGTGTCACATGCCAGACCAAGCTCCCACAGAAATCCTTGTGGAGAGGGCTAGTTTAGCACAAGAGTGCTATTGCTGTCCTTGTTGACTGAACCAGCTTCAGTTTTGCAAGTTAAAGGTGTCCTAGGAAGAGGATCTAACTCATGAAGCGTTTGTAGGAGTGCCAGTTGCATGTCCTGCCTGTTTGCAGCTCAGCCCAGGATCTCAAAGGTGCTTTTAAAAAGTAACAGATCGTCTGAGAATACTACAGCGCAAACAGAATGTATCCCGAGTTGGAAGGAGCCCACAAGGATCATCAAAGCAACTCCTGTTGGTGCCTTAATTGACAGTTGCCAAAATTGATGAATTTAAGGCTAAAATTGCCAAACTGGGCCCTCCTAAGTGAAGCCCCTTGTGCTGTAGGTGTGCCCTAGTGTCTTGGGAAATCACTGCTGTGCTTATGGCAGAGTCCTTCCTCACCAATACACTGTGCTGTAGTGATGAGCTGGTGTGGGACTAGTGTCTTTAAGGTTAATTTTTTGTTGTTGTATGGGGCACAACTTCACGTTGGTGACCTCAGTTCTGCTGCCTCTCTCAGGATCTGTTGATGCCAGGAAGCAAATCTCATGTTCATGGTGCTTACAATTGTTCCTTTCAAAGCATTGCCTGTATTGCCACAATCCTGTTTTCTTCCAAGTGCCATAAACCAGCAGTTCTGTGTACACTGCACTGCGCACACTGTTCAAGTACCTGCAATAATGTCATTACTATTACTATCAAAATGAATAAAACCTCCATTCTCTTTTATGGCTCATAAAATGACAGATTTCTTGTGCAGCTGTTGATATCGTTTGTCCTTGCCCTTGTCCGGGACTTCTCTCCATTATTTTTATGCTATGTCCTTTATTGAAGTGAAGAGGAAGCAGTGAGAATTTATCTGCCTTGTGGAGAATGAGTGTGTGAGAGTCACAAGTGAGGAAAAATCCAGGTTTGGGACTTGCAAGGAGCCAAAACTTGCTTTTCCTGACCACCTGAGTAAAGGTTACAGGAGTGCTTTGTCTGAAACCTGTCCTTAAGTATGAAGTAAATATGAAATGCCTATACACAGCTTTGTTCCCATCCATTAGGAGTTTGTGACAAAAGCAGGGGAACGGGGGAGAGGAAAAACAAGATAATTGGGGAGTAGAAAAGCAGGAGGTGGAGAAGCAGAGAGGCTTAAAGAACTTGGTGTTATGCCACTTGCTCTGTGTAGGAATGCCAGAGGACATAAGAGTTACGGGTCTGATTGCTGGGCTAAGCCCAGAATGAACCTCCCTGAGGAACAGGGCATGCTGTGAGTGTTGTGGTAGATGTTTGTGGCTGAACTGATTGTGAAGTAAAGTTCTCCTCTACCACGGGCTCCATGGACGCCAATCCAAGCGGCTGCTCAGTGTGCAGTGAGGTGAAGCTTGTGTACTGGCTCTGCTCCCCTGCTTGTGCCAGTGTGCTTGCAGGGGAGAAATTCAATAGGAACTATTATGCCTTATTAAAAAAATTAAAACAAAGTTTTTCTAGGCTGTCCTCCAAGAACTACAACAGAGAAGCCATGCGTGGTGACTGTGGGCAGCAGGCGGAGTCCCTGGGGCTGCAGGGAGCTACATCAGTCCATGCAAAGGTGAGTGTGAAATGGGGGTCCTACAGGGAATGGTGCCTGGGGAATGTCAGTTCTGCTGCATGATGGCAAGGGAGAGCAGGTGTGAGAAGGCTGCAGGGAGAGAAGCCCTTGATACAGAGATGAGGTGGGGATTTAGAGTGTAAACCAGATTTATTAATAATTCCTGATAGAACAACTCCAGACACTTTTGACATCACATAGCAAAGGAATGAAGGGAGGATGAGGACAGAATTCCTTTCCTTGAAAGTGCTCCAGCTGGAAGGGGCTGGGTACAAAATATTTTGCCAGGAGCAGGGTGAGTTCATTAAGGTGAAGATAATGGTGGAGAAACAGGAGGAGTCACAGTCTGGGCAGCTGGAGCATGAGGTGGGATCCTGTTCCAGGTGAGTCACCTGAGCTGTAGAGAACAAGTAAATCTCCACATTGAATAGTGAGTGAGGAGGTTAATTGCTACAGAGCTCCTGGGAAACAAGATGCAATAATCTTAGTGGGTATTATTGTAGGGAGAAAAATCCTTAGAACTGTTTGTGTGGAACTCCTTCAGTGGCCATGGAGGCCTTGACATTCAATCAGTTATTCAAGACTTTTCCCTGAAGCAGCTCACAGGTGGCTTTTTTGCTTTAGCATATTCACCTTTGGGCTCATCTGCTGGCTTCTTCATATTTAATCTGGAGATAAGATAGATTCTATTTCTAGGGGATTCTGGGCAGATATGGCTATTAACCTTTCACAGGAGAGCAAAGATGCCATTAACTGTGAGCTGATAAGAGCTATCCATAAAGCTGTGATTAAGCACCATAATTAACTTCTTTTTTTTTCCCCCTGAAATGTTCATGAGTCTAAGCCAGAAGAAAAAGTGTTTGTGTTCCTGCCAGTTAAGGCAAGCAGCAAGGCTTCAGGGAGAGCCAGGAGGAGGACAAGGTGGCTGAGGCTCCTCTTTGTCTCCTGCAAGAGTTATCTTGAGCAGGGATGGGAAGAGGAGCTTGCTGCTTCTGCAGGGTGATGCAGCAGCCTGGTCTTCAGAGCATCAGGGCAGCCTGGTGTTTTTCCATGTTCCTCCGTGCTCTTCCTCCTGCCCATGCTCTGAGCAAGGATGTCTTTTTGCATTACTCACTTTGCATCAAAAAATACAAACTTAGGTAGGAGATGCAATTTCTGCTCCTAATTGCCCTCCAAGCAGGTGGGAGAAGCAGGACAAGGCTGGGAGTGTGGAATGCAGGGATTTGTGTCAGGATGCCCGTGGTTCCTCACCAGCAGTGTAAGCAGCAGACAGTGCCAGTCCTGGTCCCAGCAGCTCACTCCAAGCATCCTTTGCCAGCCCTTTGCATCAGCTTTACTCTTCCTTGATATTTTAAGGTGAGTAGCTGCAAAAAGCCCCAGTGGGTGTTGAGAAGAGCTCGGTAGAAAGAAACAAATGCTACTTGGTATTGCATCCATCAGTGAGTAGGGACAACCCTGAGGAGCTCAGCCAGGGCTGTTGGGGTGTGTGATGGTCAGCAGGGAGATACACCAGCTCCTGCTGAAAGAGCAGACTGTGGGAGATCTGCTGTGAAGGAGTGACAGAATAAAATACAGCCAGTGGATAATCACCCCATGAGTACAGCACAGCAATTAGCATCTTGCCTATCTGCATGGAGATATGTTTTCCAGAGTCACCATCCAGCCTCCCACACCCTAGAAGTACAGACCTGATAGAGTGGTGAAGCTGAGACATCAGATGAAGGGAAGGAGGGTGTTTTAAAAGCACTTTTGGAGAGATCCTGCAGAAACTTCACATGGTCTAATCCCAAACTTCCATTGCCAGAGTTAAGAGCACACAGTGGTTTTGCAGCACTGGGAGGTGGAAGGCCCTCAAGGAGGGAGTGAGCTCTTGTGATAAAGGGACATTACTGGAAAAGAGAAAGCAGTTCAGAAGGCCTCTGTGTGTTATCTTTCCCAAACACAGCGATTTCGTTAGGGCTTAGCTTTTGTTTGCCCTTTCCTGCTCTCAGTTGCTGACCACAAGGATATTGCCATGGCACAAGCAGAGCCATACGGTGCTTATAGACCATTTCCTGTCAGTTGTTCTTCTCTCCCATTTGTCCTTTCACAATGGACGCTCACCAGTTCCCCAGTTCTCAGCCCTTAGAAGATCCTGCCTCTTTGCACATGTTTCTGGGGGAAGCTGCAGCCACTTGTGGGGGGCTGGATGGTGCCAGTCTCCCTCACACCCCCTGCATGTCCTGCTGTCCCACAGGAGGATGTGGAAGACAACTTGTCCATCCCGGAGTCCACTCAGTCTTGGCTCACCAGGCGCCGTGTGAGTGAGTACTGACCTTTTAGGTCCAAGGGCTTGTATTTGGAGGGTGAAGAGGGAGTAATGAGCCACAGGCCTTCTCTCAAGCCAGGGTACTAAGATGGGAAAAAGTCAAGAGAGACAAATTGGGACCCACACAAAAAGGGGTCACCTGGGAAGTCTCGGTGGGGGGATGAGGCAGCTGTGGTGGTTCTAGCTCTGCCCCACGGAGAGCAAGCAGTCCAGCCCATTCTCTGACCCAGCCGAGGAGTCCCGGGAGGAGCGGCCCTGGAGAAAGCGAATGATTTTGTCGATCGTGGCCTCCTGGTACTCATGGGACCACCTGTGTTTGAGGAGAAAATGTGGTTTAATTTTTCTGTTGCCTGAGATGCCACAAGATAGCTCTGTTCGTTTGGGCCAGGAGCCCATGGAAAATGGAGCAACACTGGATGCTGCAGGATGCCCTGCCAGGCTGGGACACATGAAGGGGAAGCAGGAGGGGAGAGGAATTCAAGTGAACTGCAAAACCTGCCATAATCACTCCTGCCTGCAGGGCTGGGGGCACAGGGAAGGGTGTCCTCCCAGCAGTGCTGGCATGGGGAGCTCTGTCACCCAGAGGAGCCCCAAGCACAACACTAGCAACAGGGATGTGGTGGGAACCTTTGCTCCCTGCATGCCCTGGAGTTCCTGAAGTGACTCACTGCTCCTTTGACCTGTTCTGTCTCCCTCATCTGTTTCTCCCAATGTCCTTGTGCTCTTTGCTACTGCTTATGCAAGATGTTCTCCACAGGTGTCAAGGAACCCCAAGGTACAGATGGCTTTTACTTACTTGATACCATTAAATTTCAGGACAGCCCTCATGTCCTTGGGAAGCGTTTCTGGGTCTGGCCACTCAAAATGATCTGTAACAGGTACAATGTTCTTTCCAGAGTTCAAGGCTGTCACAATCTCCTGCAGGAACATACAGGTGCTCAGGCTGTGGTCTGTGTCAGCCCATCACCAGCCCCTTCCTGTTCCAGTGTCCACCCAGCTCCCACCTGACGGCATTTTCTACCTTGTGTACCCAGTCCTTGCACTCGGGGTCTTCCATGCATTTATCCAGTGCATTTGGTGAGAGGACCAGCACAAAATTGCGGGCGCTCATGACGCTCTGGATCAGCTTGTCCTCAAATTTCCCTGCCTCCAGCTTCTCCACGTCAATGAACACGCTGAAACCGTGCAGCTGCAGGTGGACCTTCAGCAGGCTGGTGGCAAGAGAGGACAGCACCATGAGGAGAGGTTTCACGTGCTCTCCCACCCCATTGATAAGATATGGTGAGGCAGAGGAGCAGCAAAGAGGCTCCCACAGGAAATGGCTCAGTTCTTGAGATGCCAGCTCCAGCCCAGCCTGCTTACAGCTGTCTGGGCACATGCAGAGAACACAGGGAGCTGACCATTAGCTCCCTGCTGTGATCCCCGAAGAGCACAGCTTGAGGAAAGGGTAAGTCAGTGTCAAAGAGGGGCAAGGTGGCAGCGACAGGACTGGGAATTAGCCTGTTAACCGTGCAGGTTATGGCACGTGCTGTCCCCATTTGCTCTGTGGCTTTTGGCAGCGTCTCCCTCCTCCCCATTCCACATTTTTCCCACAACTGATAACCTGCCTTTGCTCTGGACTTCAGCCCAGCACCACAATCTTGCCTGCAGGACTCACCTGGCCAGCTGTGACCCGGTGCTCCTCCGGTAGCTGATGAACACATCGGTCCCGTTGGACGTGGTTTGCAGCGTTATAGGGGAGTGAAGCGTTTCTAGGCAGAGCAAACAGCAACCAAATGTTAACGGAACCCCAACAGCTCACCCCAAACACCCCTCAGTGCTCATTCACCCCCTCCCGCCTGCCCCGCAGCGGCCGTGCCCGCACCCCTGGCCGCGGTGAGGATGCGGACGCGGTGGAAGCCCGTGTCGATGTGACAGTCCTCCTGCAGCTGCTGCTCCGTCACCCGGTGCAGGAAGTTGCGGTTGATGCCGCAGGTGAGCAGGTTGTAGGTGTACTGCCGGAATTTGGGGTCGATGCCGCCCAGCCAGTCGGCCAGGTTGCTGTGGTCGCAGGTGGAATAGTTTGCGAAGGTCTTGAGCTCTGTCAGCTCCCGGAAAAACCTGGCGGAGAAACAAATGATGGTGTGGAGCGGGGAAGGGGAGAGCTGAGAGACCAGGCAGAACCTAGAGACATGTGGTACCACATCTTTTATCTGCCCAGGAGAGAGTGCAGCCCCATGCTGTGGTGAAGGATGAGTGAAAGGAGTAGAAAAGAGAAGAACAGCTGCATGGGAGTGCTGGTCCTCAGGTGTGGGAGTGTGAGAAGCTCAGCTAAGGGAGGAGAAGCTTGGTTAAGTTCCTGTCTTTCTGAGTAACTTGTAGGAACCCACATGTCCAGTGCCATAGGTGGTCTTTCTCCATCCAACACCTCTGCCATGCACCGGCTCCATTGCAGAAATCCCTCTGGGACTGCAAAGTGCAGTGGAAAAGTCCTGGCAGTCCAGGTTTTGCATTTGGAGGATCTCTGTTCTTGTCTTTGCAAGAAGGGAAATGCACGGACCTTGTCCCCAGCTCTGCCACTGTGGTGATGGCCATGAGAGAGTCCAACATGCCCTGGTGGCAGTCTTACCTTTTCCGAGTGATGCTGGAGTCCATCCCCAAATCCTCTTGCAGCTCCTTCTCTGTCAGCCTCAGCAGAATGTCCCCATCCACCTGGTGATCCTGCCAAGAGAAATCCAGGCTGGAAAGGTCTCAGGAAAAGGTTACACCTCTGCCGCAAGATGGGGCAGAAGGGCCCATCTGCGTGTCCCTCCCCTGGCACAGAGCCTTACCAGAAATCTCTGGCAGTATTTGTTGAATCCGATCTGCTGCAGCCACGTCTGCACCTCGCAGGACTTCCAGTTGGGAACCGTGGGCAGGATGCGCCGAGGAACCTCCTCCCCTATCATGCGCAGCACCTTTTTGGCCAGGGAGGAGGTGGTGCTGCTGGTGGAATAGCACACTATCCTCTTCAGGCTCTGCGTAGCCCCGATCTCACTGAAAATCTGGGGACACAAAAGGTGGAGACTTTGCTTTCCCTTCTCCTCCCCACAAGCTGTGTCGGGCCAGGTGTGCAGGACCAGGGTGCTTGGTGAGCTCACAGGGGAGCAAAAGACACCAAGATGTGATTGTGGCCACCCTTCCCTTTGGCATCGCCTTCCTTCAGGCCAACCTACCCTTTACCTGTGTTTTCTTCTGCCTGGTTTTGATGGTGGCCTCGGTGCAGAGGTAGAAGGCAGCGATGCACTGGGCTTCCAGCCGCGAGCTGTCCAGCAGGGGCACGAGCCGCTGCAGGTCCTCCGCCGTCCGCCCCTGGATGTTGTCACTGCTGCCCAGCATCTCGCAGGCGAACTGCTCTGGGTCCAGCGAGGCGATGAACGGCTCCACCAGAGCCAGAGTCCCCGAGCGCTCCACCTCCTTCTCGATTTCCTTGTTGGTGGCCAGCACCGTGATGGCCAGGCACGCGTGCAGCCGGATGAGTTCGTCGTCCTTTGAGAACACCAGAGGGAAAAGCCATTCTGCTGCCCTCTTCTCGATCATCAGGCGCTGGTTGGCCTGCCCTCCGTACATGGCGCAGTTGGCCAAGGCCATGGCGCAGTGCCGCAGCACGATGGGGTCCGTCCAGCGGCACCAGTACAGGATGGCATCCAGGCCTCCGTCAGAGATGAGCTGGAAACAGGTCTCCTCAGTGTGTTTGAACATGTGCTCCAGGATCCCAGAGACGCTCTGCACCAGCTGGGGAACATCTCGCTCCTTGGCTAAGTTCAGAATCACGCCCAGGCCGATCCGAGCAATCCGATCCCTGTGGGAAGGAAAGGCACAGGAAGGGGAAGGGAAGGTGGATGTGCAAGGAGTGAGAACAGTGACTTGCATGTGAACTCCCCCATGCTTCAGTGGCATTTGTCCCAGGACAGACAGGTGTTTCCCTGTGGGACACAGGTGTCAGATATGCAACGCAGTGAGACGCAACAGACTGTGTTGGAAGAACTGGTGCTGGAAGAACCTATCTGGGTCTGATGGAAGAGCTTGTGACGGGACAGGACATGGAGTGCACAGCCCAGGGCCACCTCACTGGATGCTCACATGCTTGAGGTAGGACATACATAGCAATTAACAGGCAGGGTAGGCTAATGCCAGCCTGGAAATGGATTTGCTGTGTCAGCATTGCTAGGGGGGTGTGAACTGCTTTTTGTTAGGGGGTGAAACTTCTTTGTCCCTAAGCAGTGCTGTCAGGACAGGGCTTTCACACCTGGCTGAGCAGCCACACAGCCCTGTCCACAGGGACAAGTGAGTGTCAGAGATGCCTGTCCTGGGATGGCAGCTGGAGGAAAGCTGTTTTTTTTCCCTGTCGTGTGCTCTCCTAGAAGAGGACAGCAAGAGTCCAGGGCAGGTGGCCAAGGGCCACCAGCTGCTGCTCGGCCATGGCTGGCCTTGGGAGCCCTGTGCTGCTAGGATGGTCTTAAAATGACACCTGAATGGGGCTGTGCCCTGAAAACACAGTGAGGAAGGCGTAAATCAGGATCATAGAATGGTTTGGGTTGGACAGGACTTTAAAGCTCATCTCATTCTAACCCCCATCTGTGGGCAGAGACACTTTCCACTAGACCAGGTTGCTCCAAGCCACATCCAACCTGGTCTTGAACACTTCCAGGGATGGGGCAGCCACAGCTTCTCTGGGCAGCCTGTGGCAGTGCCTCACCACCCTCTGAGATGGGTTCTTGGCTGCCCTCCCATGAGCTTTCCTGAGGTGAGTAGCAGCTCCATCTCTTCCCTTAGCACCTGTTTGGTGCTGTGTTGGAGCTGCCTGGTTTGTGAGGCAGTGCTGGCACAGATGCCCCATGCTGTGCTGCTCATGAGGGCACTGCCACGCTTGGTCCCCAGCGGTGGTGGGGTGATGGCACACCAGCCTCTGTGCTGGCAGGCAGGAAGAGCATTTCTGGGAAATCTGTGACCCACAGGGCTCACGCTGACCTTGGGGTGGGTTTGACAGGAAATGCTGTGGAGAGCTCTGGGAAAAAAAAAAAAAGCCCTCAGCCTGGGTCTGGCTCCAAGCCCAGACTCGGACATGGAGCTGGATGACAAACACAGCCCCACCAGGTCCCTGACTCCCAGCAGCCATAGATGGAGCCAGGGCTGGTCCAGCTCCCAGCTAAACACCACTGCTGCTGTGCACAGAGTGGAAGAGGTCTGTAAGCCAGAGGCTTGGATCCAAGGGGGGACCCCACACCTCCCTGCCATCGATTGGAGGTTGATGGTGGGTCAGGCTGCAGGGAGGAAGGGGCTTGGGGCCCATGGCTTCTCCAAGACCCTGACCCATGAACTGCTCCTGGAGCAGAGATGGTGACTCCAGCAAATGCTTTCTCTTGCCAAGAAGCTGAGTGCTGAATGTAGACCGTGCCAGTGATGCCTTCTGGGATTAAATTCCACCCTAATGGGCTTTTCTAATTTAGTTGTCGCTTATTTTTGCCTGCCAGTGCATGCAGTGAGGCCCAGGCTGGGAGTCCACGACCTTACAGCAAGAGACATCACCCAGGAAGCTGGAGCAACACTTTGGCCAGGCTCCCTCCATGTGCTTTCCAGACCCCTGGCTGGGGCTGGCTGGGCTGGGGTGCTCCGAGGGAGAGCGGAACTGGCAGAGTGCATTTGGGGTGTTGGAAGGGTGGGTTGTGCGGGTGCTGCATCAGCAGGGCTGTGCATTTGGATGTGTCAGGATGCACCTTTGTGCACACATTTGTACACACACACTCACACACACATATGGAGGCACACGATCCCACCCTACCTGTGCCCATGCTCTGGCAGAGCCAGCCCAGTGCCTCTCACCTGTCTTGGGCAGCAGCACATGTGTCTGGGGCTCTGAGGCCCACCCACCAGCCAGCCCCCTCATTATGGCTCCGTTCCAGCCCTGGTCAGCAGCAGGAAGTCTCTGAGAAGTGGCTTTGTCCTCCTCCTCCCGCTTCGGTTATGGCTAAGGGGGAGTTGCGTCTTGTCCTTGGGGTCAGATGCTCTGAGCCAGCCAGACTGACTCAGCTCGATCACAAAGGGTGGCCCCAGGCTGAGGGGGGCACCCCGATCCTCACCAGCTGGGGCCAGTCCTCCCTCCAGCTGTGGGGGAAGGGAGCAGCTCATACCATTGCCCGGACATGAGTCAGGGACCCTCAGTGCAGGTGGTCGGTGTGGGGGGATGTGGTAGGGGTCCAAGGGGGTTGGTGCACCAGGAGCACTCAGAGCAGGGAAATTTATGGGGTGTGGGTGAGATGGGTGTAGGCAGGCCAAGGCTAGATTGGATGGGGCTTGAAGCAACCTGGTCTAGTAGAAGGTGTCTCTGTCTATGGTGTGGGGTTGGAACTGGATAGTCTTTAAGGTCCCTTCCAACCCAAACCGTTCTGTGATCCTGTGAAAGAGCTGATGCTGCCTGGGGCAGTGGGGAGGGCTGTGCCTGGCAGGGCAGGGGGGTCTTTGCAGACTCACCTGTTTTCTGCCACCAGGATCTGCTCCAGGAGTTTTCCTGCCTGGCACTTGGTCTCCAGCTCGGCGGTGTACAGCAGGTTGAGCAGCAGGTCCAGGCCCCCCTCCAGGCGGATCACATCGCACAGCACCTTGGCCACGTCCCTCCCCAGCGCGGGCATCCCCCAGGCCTCCTCCACCAGGCGGAACACCTCGGTGATGGCCGCCCGCAGCCCCTCGGGGGTGGTCGCCTGCGTGGCTTGGGCGATGGCCCGGCGCAAGGCGGGCAGAACCCGCTCCAGCGCCTCCCGCACCTCGGTGCCCACCCCTGGGGAGACCCCTCGGTGCTCCCGGCCGCTGCCCCCGCCCGCCCAGCCGCCCGCCCGGCTCACACACTCGGGCACCGTCAGCCGCTCCGCGCTCGCCATGGCCAGGGACCGGCCCAGGGTGTGCAGGGAGAGGAGCAGGGCGAGCATCCGTGGCTGCTACCGCAGCATCCCCTGCCACCCGCCCCGCAGCGCCCGCAGGGACCCCCCGCTCCTGCGGGGACGCGGGTGGCCGCAGGGGGGGGGCGGGGGAGGGGGGCCGCGTCCCGCTCCCCCCTCTGCCCTGTCGGGATGCGGAGCTGGAAGCGGAGCGAGATCCGCCTTCCCCGAGCCGGGCTCAGCATCCCGGTCCCCGGGGCTGATGTCACCGGGCGCAGGCGCCGCCTCTCCGAGGAGGGGCTCGGTCCGGCGGCTGCATCCCCCTCCCGCTGCAGATGCTCCGGCATCCCCCCAGACCCCTCCTGCCACCAGCCCTGCAGGGATTTAACAGAAGCGTGGATGTGGCGCTTGGGAAGAGGGCTTAGAGTGGGCTTGGCAGGGCTGGGATAATGGTCGGACTCGGTCTTAGAGGTGTTTTCCGACCTAAATTCTACGATCCTATGATTGTGGCCTTTCAGTACTTAAACAGGCCTTACAGAAAAGAGGGAGAGTGACTATTTACTCAGGTAGACAGTGATAGGACACGAGGGAATGGTTTTAAACTAAAAGAGGAGTGATTCAGATTGGATATTAGGAGGATGTTCTTCCCTGTGAGGGTGTCAATGCACTGACACAACTTGTCTAGAGAAGCTGTGGATGTCCCACCCCTGAAAGTGTTCAAGAACAGGCTGGATAAGTCTTGGAGCAACCTGTTGTAGTGGCAGATGTCCTTATCCACAGCAGAAGGCTGGAACTAGACACAAACAATTCCATGATTCCACAACCCTCTCTGCCCAGCCTGAGCTGGGGCTTGACCTGCTGTCCCTGTGGCCCCCCACCTTGCCTGAGCTGCTGCTACGGTGGTCAGTCCACAGCAGGCAGGGACTCCCACAATGTTTTTGTAGCAGGTCAGTCCACAGCAGGCAGGGACTCCCACAATGTTTTTGCAGCAGGTCTCTCTGGGACCCTCTGTGACCAGGGAGGGGGACACAGGGTGCAGGTAAAGGGTCAGGCACCGTGGTGAGCACAGCCGTGGGCACAGTGAGGCTGTGGCCACCCTGGCACAGTTTTGAATCCATTTGGTATCAGCAGGGGGCAAATACCCTTTGCTTGGTGGAAATTCAAAACAGCTCTTCTGGGTGGGCTTGGGATTTGCATGATAAAGGAAAGAGCAGAGGAAGCCTGGGCCTCTTTTGTTTTCTTTTTTCCAGGCCAGACGTGCTCAGGGCAGAAATGCTTTGGACATTTCTCGCCTGTGCTGGGAGGAGCAGCTTAAATCCTTGGCTCCAAAACCAGGTTGTTGCCAGCTCAGCCTGAGACTTAAATTCAAGTTGATGTTTTGATGTGACAGAGTCGCTTTTAATCCTCTCTGAACCCACTGCGCAGGGACAGACAGAGAAGGGGACATCAGCTCACAGCGAAGGACTGGAAACCAGGCACCCCGAGTGGTACCATACGGCGGGAGAGGCTCGGCACAGAATCAGTAAGGATTTTTCTGATAAATTATTATTAATCAGGGGTAACGATACAGCCATTGCAGTGCAGAGCAGCAGAGGGATTTGCTGCCCGGGGGCATCAAAATTCAAACCATTCCCTCAGGCTTGTCCTGACAAGGCAAGAGAAACTGAACTTTGCTTTGCTTCTAGTTTTCCTTTGCTTTGCTTTGCTTTGCTTTGCTTTTTGGGAGGGATTTCTAGCCCCGGCAGCCTGGGCTCTGGGGTGGCAGGGGTTCCCAGCCTTTTACTGGGGGATCAGCCCCACCGCCTGAGCTCTCCTTGCTGGGTTTGCTCAGCCCTTGGCTACAGGGGCTCCCCAGGGCCCCGTTATCCAACTAGCCCTTCTCCTGGGATCTCCTCCTGGCACGGAAGGGCTCTCTGAGCCTTCATGGGTCTGTGGCTGGTGGTTGGGAGCCTGGAGCAGCAGGAGTGAGCTTTGTCTCAGCCGATCAGCAAAAGCAGCTCAGACATTGCCCAGCCCTTCTCCCCCAGAGCCTCCCGCAAGCCTGAGCCCTCCCAGGGCTCTTGTCCCCCAGGCTTGGTTCAGCAGGGATGGGATGAAGCTGTAGTGCAGCACTGGGCTGGTGCTGGCAGCTGGGGACAATGCCAGCCCTGCCATAGCTGTGGCCAGGGGACAAGGAGGGGCATGATGGGCTTCAGGAGAAATCCTACCCCAACAGCCCATATCTGGTGGGTGCCCTTGGCTCCCCAGGGCTTCCTGGGTGAAAATACCTGTCTCAAAACCAAATAGAACTCTTTTTAGCAAGGATGGGAGCACATGATGCCAGAAACTGCCTGTGTCTGAGCTGGCAGAGGAGAGACCCCTGGAGAAGTGGGCACCCTGCTCAGGTTCTTCTCTCCCCAAATCTTACATCACTTAAAGCCCAGAGCTTCACTGCTCCTGCCCCAGGGCTGGGAAGGACCCCATGGAGCTCCTGTCCCAGCAGTGCTGTGGGAGTGTAGGCAGCAGAGGAAGGATTGCTGCAGCCTCATGTACATTTGCTCCTTGCCCCTGAATAAATAACCATCCCAGAGTTATCAGGAGCTGCCAAAAGAGCTGAGTTGACATTAATTAGTAACCGAAAAGATTGGTTGGAAGGGGAATGACGCGAGCAAAATACACAGGCTTTTGTTTGCCTTCTGCAGAGAAAGTGCAGAGGGCTTCTACCCTCCCTCTCTCCCGGCCACTCACCTCTGGCCTCTGGTCCCCATGCACAAAGGTGGCACCTGCCCCATCTCAAGCTACCATGCTTTGTGGCTCCCCAGGTCTGTTCCCAGCCTTGACATTGAGAAAGCTGAAATCCCAAGACTAAGTCCTCCAAAGCGGTGATATTTTGGGCAAATATAAGCTCAAGGGTTTTCCCTGTGCCCTCTGAGCATTGCTCCCCCATCCTGTCTCATGTACGTTTTTGTCTTGCCAAGACCAGCCTGGGAAACAGCCGGGAGCTTTAATACCATGAGAATTGCTTGGAAATAAGTGTGGTAGGACCCCAAAACTGGTTTCTGGCTCAGGCCTGCTGTCCCTTCCCACTCTCTGAAGAGTGCCCAACCTGCACACGGGCTGGGGTAGAGCTGTCTGCACGTGTGGGGAGCCCTGTCCCCCACAAACGCACCTGGCTCAGTACAGACTGCGGGGGAAGCTGAGTGGGAGATCATCTCTGCCCCTTTTCCCCTGTTCTGACCTTGGTCTGTTTGTTTTCTCCTGCGGGGGCAGGCTGAGCAAACAGTGGATGCTGGGGCTCCAGCCGCTGCCGCACTCCAGCCCGCACAGTCACAGGAGGGCTGCGCTCCCGGACACCCAGGATGAGGCTGCTCTTCCCTGCCCTGGCACTGGCCCTGCTCATCACCACCCGTGCTGCTGAAGGTGAGCCTTAGCCAGCCAGGTGCCCCATGCCAGGTGCTTTGGGGATGGAGCAAGTGCAGCTCCTGGGCTGATGGAGGGGCTGAGGAGCCTGGGCAGGGGAAGAAGGGACCAGAGGATGGCCGTGGCCACTGGCAATATTGGCTACACTGCAGGACAGGGAGAAAGCAAGTGGGCAGCACGTGGGTATAGATGATGCCTTGGCAAATCCCTGGCCATCCTACAGTTGGGCTGCCAGTGTGGAGCTGGGACCCTGACACAACCTTGTGCAGGGCTCCCATCTCAGCAGGATCTGGGTGGGAGTGGGGCGAGGTGCCAGGTAGCCCCTGATGGTGGGGTTGACCATGAAGAAGTGGTGTGCCCCTAATCATGACATACTCAAGTTTGCTTTCATCCCTGGGACTGGGCTGGGGGGAGGCACAGGCCCCACTTCCCACTCCACATTACTCTTGTGCTGTGGGGTGGCTTTTGCAGACTCCTGCGAGGGCCGCTGCGATGATGGCTTTGATGCACAGCGCAAGTGCCAGTGTGACAGCCTCTGCATGTACTACCAGAGCTGCTGCAGCGACTACTCCACCGTCTGCAAGGCCAAAGGTACCAGCCTTGCAACCTCCCTCCTGGCTGGGGCATGGGGGGAATGGGGTGGCTGTGGGTGCCTGACTGGGGTAGCTCAGGGGGTCTGTGCTGGGTCAGCTCTGCACCCACCTGTGTCCACAGGGTGAAGTCAGGGCGCTGCAGCATATGGGGGTTTTGGGAGCTGGCTCACTGCTGCCCACAGCGTGGGGTCCATACAAATTGGATAGATTGGATAGTAGGAAAATGTCTTCACTGAAAGGGTGGTCAGGCACTGGAATAGGCTGCCCAGGGCTGTGGTGAAACCACCGTCCCTGGAAGTGTTAAAAAAGAGTAGTTGTGGCACTTGGGGACATGGTTTAGTGTTGGACCTGGCAGTGTTGAGTTAACAATTGGACTTGATGATCTTGGAGATTTTTTCCAACTTTAACAATTCCATGATTCCGTAAATCCGTATTGCCTGGGAGTGAGCGGCTCCCGCAACCAGACCCAGTGGGAGACACTCAGGGCTTCCTGGGACCAAACTGCTCCCCCCCACAGTGACCCGGGGAGACGTCTTTGCCTTGCCGGAGGATGACTACGTCGACTACAACCTCACTGTCGACTTTGTCACGGAAGAGCCCCCTAAGGCAGACCCCACGGAACTGCCCACATTCCCATCACCAGTGGAGACCACACCGGAGAGCAATCCAGGCCCTGAGGAGACAGAGCTGCCTGTGGACGTGGTGCCCACAACAGATGGGTTCGGGGAGCAGGATCCCGTGGACGAGCCTGAGGAGCTGTGCAGTGGGAAACGTTTTGACGCCTTCACCGACCTGAAGAACGGTTCCCTTTATGCTTTCCGAGGTACCTTGGGGACCTTTCCCAGGCACATGAGACATGCTGTCGCACCATCACCCCACAGCAACATCTGGATGCTCCTAATGCTCCCATCTCCCTTCTCTCCCCAGGGAAGTACTTCTATGAGCTGGACAAGACGAGCGTGCGGCCTGGCTACCCCAAGCTGATCAGCGACGTCTGGGGCATCGAGGGCCCCATCGACGCAGCCTTCACACGCATCAACTGCCAGGGCAAGACTTACCTCTTCAAGGTGGGCTGGAGCTGAGCTGCAGGGCTGGGGGAGCTCCCGGGGTGGCTGGCACAGCCCCCAGCCCACCCTATCCCCTCCTGGCACCCTCCATGCACCCACAAACACAGTGGTTGCCAGACATCCCCATGCCCCTGTGGCATTTCAGGGGCCCCAAGCAGCCACAGCCTCATGATGGGGCTCCCCAGTATCCACTCACTCCCCATGGCAGACCTGGGCCTGGGGGATGCTGCACCCTGACCCCACTCTGTCCCACACCCCCCAGGGCACCCAGTACTGGCGCTTTGATGATGGAACCCTGGACTCCGGGTACCCACGTGACATCTCCGAGGGCTTTGAGGGCATCCCGGACAACGTCGACGCAGCCTTCGCTCTCCCTGCACACAGCTTCCACGGCAATGAGAGAGTCTACTTCTTCAA